GCTTCTATGACCATGTCAGAAAGGCTACCTGGGAGAGGACCTTCTGGATAAAAGAGCCAGAGAGGCTTACCTGTAACCTTCTTTGTGATGTTTTTATACTAGGGAAGACCTTTCTATCCTCCTGGTCCTCACAAATTGTTTTCATTCATTTATCTCTGGTAGAAACAGTTACACTGCAGCTTTTACTACAATATAGGGTGGACACATTAATAATGGGAGTATAATCAGTTTTAATCATAGGTGCAGAATTTTGGTAGCTTTATGATCATGGTCATAATAATAATAATAATAATAATAATAATAATAATAATAATAATATACAAAAATAAAGTTATCTGGCCCCATAGGGTCAATCTTTCTTTGCTGTTGTTGTTGGTGCATGCCTTCAAGTAATTTCTGACTTGTGACAACCCTAAGGTGAACCTATCATGGGGTTTTCTTGGCAAGTTCATTCAGAGGGGGTTTGCCATTTTCATCCTCTGAGACAGAGTGTGTGACATGCCCAAGGTCACCCAGTGGGTTTACATGGCCAAACAGGGATTTAAAGCCTGGTTTCCAGAGTCATAGCCCAATGCTCAAACCACTGCACCAAGTTCTTTCTACTAATGCCAATTCAACTGCCTTTTAAAAACAACAACTGACTGTCCTTCTGTTGGGAATGTCCTCCTCCTTGCCTCCCACTTTTCCCACCTATTGGAGGGATTGCTTTTCAAGAGATACATCATTTTTAATGACTTTGGACTTTTTAAAAATGGTCTTAGACTTGTGAAGTCAAAGGCTTCATCCAATGGTTTTTGTGGGTTTTTCGGGCTTTGAGGCTGTGTTGTAGAAGAATGTATTCCTGATGTCTTGCCTGCAACATTTCTCTGAAGATGCCAGCCATAGATGCAGGCGAAATGCTAGGAATACATTCTTCTAGAATACGGCCTCACAGCCCGAAAAACCCACAAAAGCCTATGGTCTTAGACTTCCTTTTTACTTCCACAACTACATCACCAAATAGAAAGCTATGGTCTTGCCAAGTCTTACAGTTGTTGAATGCAGAGCCCTGGAAGACATGACAAAGCTATCTTCCTGCCATGATGTACTCCTCCAGGGTTTTATGGCAAATGAACATAGAGTCCTAAGTTGCTGGTAGAGTCATTCCTCTCTTTCCAGGAAATGTGAAAGGAAAAGTACAATTTCCTGCTCTCACTTTCTGATGTTTTTTCACTTAGGAGTTTATCACACGGGGGAAATCTCATGCGGAAACGGGGGTTTAAATTAGAAAAAAACCCGCAAAAGCGGATGTTTTTTCAGACAACGTCACTTTTAAAAGGAGGTTAAACTGGGATTAATCCGAACGGAAACCCCTTATTGACTGCTTCTTTTTGCTTTCGGGTTTTTCCGAAAGTAAAAAGAAGCAGTTTCTGTTCGGATTAACCCCAGTTTAACATCGCTTTCACTTTTCACACTGGGGAATCCCGTTAATAAATTGCTTCCGCTTTTGCAGTTTTTTTCTACTTAAAGCAGGGTTTCTACATGAGACTCCCCGTGTGATAAATCCTTAGTGTGGGCTCATGTTTTAAAAGGTTTTTGGGGCTGGGGGATGTTTTAAGGCACAACCCTAATCCAAGTAACAGTTTGGGGCTTTTTATGGATGACTTTTAAATGGAGGGGGTGGGAACAACATTTGAAAGTTGTGGTCTGGGGGCTTTGGGAGCATAGCGGACATTGTTGTTGTTGTTGCGTGCCTTCAAGTCATTTTCAACTTATGTCAACCGTAAGGCAAACTTATCTCAGGGTTTTCTCTGGCTGAGAGTGTGTGACTTACCTAAATCTAGTGGGTTTCTGTGGCCAAATGGTGAATCAAACCCTGATCTCCAGAGCTGTAATCCAATGTTCAAACCACTACACCAAGCTGGCTCTCTAGGGAAACTTAGGGGTATGCTAGAAAGGGTCTGGGGACTCTCCCCAGCCCTGTGTTTTATTATTAAAATCAATTATTTATAACTTTGTCATGGTAAGCCACCCTAGAGCTCTGTAGAACTGCTGAGATAACTAGAATGAATGAATGAATGAATGAATGAATGAATGGATGGGATGAAGATTCCTTACCGCTGGGTATCACTACGGACACAGATTGTGACCAGACACTCCAATAGCCATCATAGGATCCCCGAGCCTTGGCCCTCACTGCTAGAGTGTAGTGAATCCCACTTTTCAGATTCACAAGATGATATGTCTGTCCAATGGTAGTCTCCACCTGAATGACAAAAGCACAGGTAAGAGGGAGGGAATAATAGAATCGTAGAGTTGGAAGAGACCACAAGGGCCACCCAGTCCAACCCACTGCCATACAAGAACTCAAACTGAAAGCATCCCTGATAGATGACCATCCAGCCTCTGTTTAAAGACCTCCAAAGAAGGAGAGTCCACCACTCTCTGAGGGAGTGTCTTCCACTTTCTTACTATCAGGAAGTTCCTCCTAATGTTTAGGTGGAATCTATTTTCCTGTAACTTCCATCCATTGCTTCATGTCCTATTCCCTAGAGCAGCAGAAAACAAGCTTGCTCCATCCTCAGTGTGACACCCCTTCAAATACTTAAACAGGGCTATCACATCACCTCTTAACCTTCTCATCTCCAGGCAAAACATACCCAGCTCCCTAAATTGCTCCCCATAGGGCATGGCTTCCAGACCTTTCACCATCTTGGTCACCCTCCTTTGGATACACTCCAGCTTCTCAACATCCTTTTTGAATTGTGGTACCCAGAATTGGACGCAGTGTTCCAGGTGAGGCCGAAAGAGGGAGGCAGTTTCCAGAGTTAGGTAGCAAACAGCCAGTGACTTACCCGGTAGGTCTCATAACCCTCAGGGGAGATGGACACCTCATAGTGCAGGTTGCTGTCCATGTTTGTAACCGGAGGTGGCAACCAGCTCACGTTCAGCAGTTGTGATGACTCCAGCAGCTGCACTGTCAAGTTGGAGGGGGGATCCAATAAAACTATCACAAGGGGAAGAAGAGGAAAAGAGCAGTGTGAGAATAGACAGGATGAGCCAGCATGGCCTAGTGGTTTAAGCTTTTGATTATGGGCTCCGGGTACCAGAATTTGAATCCCATCTCGGCCATGTAAACCCACTGGGTGATCTTGGGCAAGTCACTCTCTCTCAGCCTCAGAGGATGGCAATGAAAAAAACCCCTCTGATGAAACTTGCCAAGAAATTCCTGTGGTGGGGTTGCCATAAGTCAGAAATGACTTGAAGGCATCCAACAAACACACACACACACACTTTACAACAATGCAGTGGTGGGGAAATTTGGTGTACGAAAAATGGCCCCTAACATATAAGGCAATGCAATAGGCAGTGCATTTGCCACTTACATTAACCATCTCAGCCAGGCTTGTATTCTCTCTCCTGCTTTGCAGTCAGGACTGGCTTGACCCTTTGGGCTAGGGAGGCAGTCACCTCAGGCAGCAGATGCTGAGGGACAGTGATGGGATGGAGGACAGTGACCCCTAAGCTAGTCTGTTGCTCTCTCATGTGGATGAGTGGATCCTGTCCTGTGTCTCCAGTGTTGAAATAAGTTGGAATAGCCAAGCAGGGCAACTTTGACATATGAAAGGAATGGAGGCACCATCTTTACCTATTGCTTGAGCAGCAGAATGCTCTTGAGCCAGCCAGGCCTGCTTGCAGTTTCCCCTTCCCATAATGGAGTGCAGTTCCTTGAATGAATGGCCTCACTTCCCCAAAACTTAGTTGAGGGTCACAGGGAAATTCAGAAGACTTATAACCCTGGCTCTGAAGCCTAGCAATGCAACCTTATCAACATTTAGACATATAATCCACTAACTCCCTTGCCGCAGTTGCCAATTCATGCTATGGCAGTTCTTCTGTGCCCTTCAACAGCGGCACAATGCAACAATGGAGAATACTGCACTACACTGTTATAGCACTATTATTCCACTTTTACTGCTATGACTGCCTTCCGTGGCATTCTGGGGTTTGTAGTTTAGTGAGGCCTAAGGGCTCTCTGGATGTGAATTCTCAATGTCCCTCCCAAAACTGCAAATCCCAGAATGCCACAGGGGGCAGCCACAGCAGTAAAGATGGAATGATACTGTAGTGCTATGACAGTGTAGTGTGGTATTAGTCAATATATTCAATAGATGAAGCTTTTCTTGATATAAAGGTGTAGCACTGAGAAATATTTCACCTGACATGTTTCTGCCTGTTGCACAGAAATAGAATGTCTCTGCCATCATGTTTGTTTGTTTAATGGACAACTAATCAATAGAGAGTCAATGTACTTGAATCTCACATAGACACTTTGTCCTTTCTACTGTGGCTAGAGCAAGCACTTGGATTTAGTGTTTTCGGTGGGTTGCTGGCTCATGAGAAAGAGAACATCCCAAGGTGAAAGATTTCCCATCTAATCCAGAAATCTAGGAACCCAGATTTGGGGTATGACCCTAACCCTAACCCTAACCCTAACCCTAACCCTAACTCTTTCCAATATAGTAAGATACCGGTTGGATCACTTCCTGCAGATCCCCATCCCTTTTGTGCTTCAGACTTACTTAGCCTTTCCACATAGAGGTCTCTTCTGCTATATATGGTGTGGTTTTTCTCATCAAAGACCTTGATTTCCATGGGGGCAAAAGCCGAGACATCTCCCCGTGGAAAAAAGCAAGTGTAGCGTGTTGTGTTCCAAGGTGTGTGCTCCAGAGTCAAATTGCACAGCGTCAAATATTCATCTTCCCTGAGTGAAAGGAAATGATAGACTGTTATGAAAACTTGGAACAAATTTATTCTGAAAGTTTTCTCTATTGCTCCCAGTAGAAACCACAGAAACAAAGTAAGAAGATGGGCTTTACTTTAGGGCCCTCCTGAAGACAAGACTGGCAGCTACATGGTTTACATGTTTACTTCTGAATTATTTTTATAGCTTCCCATCAGGGCTAGTAGTCAAAATACAATGTTAAAATTTTCAAATGCGTTTCAACAAAGATTTGGGTGATCATTTCAAATTTACATCTGAACTCTTCTCCAGTATTTCTGGAGCTCTCTCTATTCTCTTTGTCTTCTCCTCTTCTTTCTCTAGTTTGGGACAGGCAAAGTGCAACCTTCTAGAAAGCAGCTCCCAGAAACCCTAGTCAGAAAAACCAATGGTGAGGAGTGTTGGGAGCTGCAGTTCAACCACATCTGGAGGACCAATAGTGTGCCTGATGCTGTCCTAAACCCTTCTGCCTGGTCTGCCCCTCAACCACTGATAGAGAGAAATTCTTCTGTCTGCAACATCCCATTCTCTGTTGCATGTTATGATGGCTTTCGCAATGGTTCTTTGAATATGTTCGAATGATGACGCCTGTCATCCTTGACCAGAACATCATTTGCAGTGTTGTCTGGACAAATTATAGTTAAATGTCCAATAAAGTTGAAGGGCAATAGATGTGGGATGGCTACTCTGTTCTAACTTTAGGCCTTTGTTGGAACTGAGGATTGAGGTCTAAGGGTCTAAGCATTCTAAGGATCAAAAACTGCAGAGGGTTCCTGTACTTTTAATAGTTATATAAAAGGAGAAAATTCAGCAGTTGCACTTGCTTGTTCCCTGGCTGTGTGTCAGGCAAGACCTTTCAAATTCCCTCTTTTACACAACACACTAAAAATACAAGAGCCGTCTCCAGTTTGCTGTCCAGCAACACTTGGGCCTGATATTAAAGATAGGAACCGGGTCACCATAAATATATATTTTTTTAAATGGCAGGTTTGAGGAGGAGACTTGGCCAGTCCAAGAGAATCCAAGCTGATAGGATTGAGCATCTTCTTGTCAGACAAAATGTCTAAGAGCCAAAATGCTAACCCCTTGAGACTGAGTATTCTTGTATAACTTGTAAACCACTCACCCATACTTGTATCCAAAACTGTATGTGTTCCAATTGTTTTGTTCCTCAGCAGGACTGGATGTTTCCCAGAAGCAGGCCAACTCTTCCATTTTCTCTGTGAAACACTTGGGATATGAGAGGTTCTCTTTCTGTAGAAATGCAACTAGAGGCAAAACCAGAATGTTACACACAAAAATGGAGGGGGAGATGGATATGTTTAGTCTGGGGAAGACTTAAGAAGTGACATGCCATCCATTTTTAAATACCTGAAGGGATGTCATTTAGAAGAAGGTGCAAGCTTGTTTTCTGCTGCTCCAGAGACTAGAACATAAACCAATGGATTCAAAGTACACAAAAAGAAATTCCACCTGATTATTACTGACTACAAGAACTGTTTGAGAGTGGAATATATTGCCTCAGAAAGTGGTATACTCTTCTTCTTTGGAGTTTCTAAAATAGAAGTTGGAGGTATATATTTCAGGAGTGCTTCGGTTGTATATTCCAGCATGGCGAAGGGTTGGACTATATGGCCCTTGTGGTACCTTCTAATTCTATGATTCTCAGTTTCTCATCTCACAAGTTATGAGTGTCTAGCCAATCTGTGTGTTCTGAACTAAAAATAAAGCAAAGCATTATTTTAACTAAAGCAAGGCATTATTTTCTCCTAAATAATCCAAATTTTGCAACATGGAAAAGGATCATGTAGAAAAAAATCCCTGTCAACTAAGATTTTCAGATTGGCAAAACGTTACCATCTGTGGCAAAGAAGAGGGGAGGATCATTTATGATGGCAAAATGATCTTCTCTTTTGGATTCCTCCACCACAGCCTTACCTACACACACCACGTTCCAGCACCTAGTTTCTAAAATAAGAGGTTCCAAAACTCAAGTTTGCTTATATTTAATAACCTTCCTTGGGGAAACACTGCAGGTATTTGGGGGGAGGATTTGCTTTATCAGTTTTGTTAATTTTTAAGCTTTTAAAATGTTTTTTTTAATATATGTCATTTATATATGTTGAGCTGAGCTTTAACATTT